AGACGGGGTGAGCGCAGTGCTGGGGTGCAGGGCACAGTGCTCTGCCCCAAGCTGAGACCCCCGCATCATGCCACCGCCATGTCCCCTTCCCCACCACCACCAGGGCCCCACTCACTGGGACGCACGGGTGTCCTCCATGCTCCGAATGGCCACCACGTAGACCCCTGCCTTGGTCGCACTGGTCAGGGCCCTGGGAACAGGAGGGATAGAGGGAGGCTGGGCCAGGTGTCCTGCCACTCCACTTGCGGGCACGGGGAGCAGCCGGACATCCAGCCCCTGGCTCTGGTGGGGACCTGCCTGCCCCATCCCCTTCACGGTCCATGAAACTGGGAGACATGGTCAGTGGTCCTGGCCTGCGTGCTCATGTCCCCTGCTGCACAGCCATGCACCCTCCCGCCCCAGCCCAGCACCCTTACACTTTAATAATTTCGGCGTTACTCTGGACTTCATCCACTGGTGTCACGAACTGGAGGCGAACGCGGTAGCTCTGATCCACTGTGAAGATCTGCGCGGGGAAAGCAGGGGTGAGTAGGGCTGGGCAGGGCACAGGGTGTCCCTGGATGGGGGGACAGGGGGTGACACTCACAGTCAGTGTGGTCTGTGCTGAGTGCACTGGTTCATCACCATCCCGAGCCTCCACTGTCAGCTGGTACTGCCCCTTCAGCGAGCCATCGAGGTTGCTGGCCACCCTGCGAGGATGGGGACATCAGCGATCCCATGGGACATCCCTGGGAGGGCACTGCTGTCCCCCAACCTCCACCCTGCCACCATGCCCAGGGCAGGACCCCAGGATGGCTTTGTCCCCTGCCACAGTCCCCCCACCCTGTCCCAGATCCATGGCCTCACTGGATGCTCCCGACGTAGCCGTCCTTCTCAGGCGTTGTCACCACCTTGAAGAGGTTCTCGAAGGGCCGGCTGACCCCGTTGTCGTCCACGAGCACCACACTGACAATGGAGAAGGTGATGGTTCCCTTCGGCCCTGAGTCAGCGTCCATGGCCTGCAGATACAACACGTGTCAGGAGCACGGGCGGGAATGGCCACGGGGTGCCCACGGCAGGGACGGGCAAGCACAGCTCCACAGAAGGGCAGACGCATGCACACAGCTCCTGACCTTCACAGTAGCCACTTGCAGGTCCACAGGAGAGATTTCGGGGACAACCACTGCCGGGGACAGACAGTGTGGTCATGCTGGTGTGCAGCCAGGCTTGCTGCAGACCCCATGCCCGCACAGCCCTGGGGCTCATCCCAGCTCCAAGCATCCCCTTGCTGCTGTTGGCCCCACAGCCTTCATGGGAAGCATTGAGTGACCCCAGCCCAGTCCCTGCACCCTCACAGCCCTGGGGGAATGTCCCCACGGCCAGGGAGCCTGGCAGAGCTGTGTGGGTGCAGAGAGGAGCCCACAGCATGCACCAGCCCTTGCTGCTCACCAAAGGTCTGCGAGACAGGCAGGAAGACTGGCGCGTTGTCATTCACATCGGTGATGAGGATCCTCAGGGTTTCTGCAAACGCCCCAAAAGCAAAGCTCGGGTCACCAACTGAGCAGCCCTGCAGCACCCTCCTCTGCTTCCCCTGGGAGTCCCATCCTTCCAGCAGGCTCAGGTCCCTGTGGCAGGGACCAAAAGAGCTGGGGACCCCCTCCCTCCATCAACAAAGAGCCTGGCTCTTGTCCTGCTCCCCACAGCTCCTCCTGGGAGGTGGGAGAGGCAGGTCCCACCTCCCCCCATGCCTGGTGGCAGCAGAAGGAGCGGGGAGCAGGTGCCATACCGTTCTGGCTGTAGCGGTTGCCCTTCTCGGTGTACAGGTCCTCAACCCGCAGCGTGAGCACCACATCGTCGCACAGCTCGTAGTCGATGTCCAAGCTGTTCACCAGCACCGAGCCATTGGGCGCCAACACGAACCAGTCCCAGCACACCTCCCCGGCGCTGCTTGCCCCCTTGAAGCAGGCGACTGCCAGCTCCTCAAAGACCAGTGAGTGGTTGGTGTCTGGGTCGGAGGCAACCAGTGTGCAGACCAGACCCTGCTGTGTGCCGTTCTCGCTCACGTACACGTCCTGCAGTGAGGAGGGCAGGATGGTGGGGGGCTCGTCATTGACGTCTAGGATGTGGACCACCACTGAGACGCTGGCAGTGTCCCCCGCGTTGTCTGCAGCTGTGTTCTCTGCCAGCACCACCAAAGAGAAGAACTTCTGCTGCAGGGTGTCGTAGTCCAGGGACACATCAGGGTCCACGGCCAGCTGCCCAGCATAGTGCCCTGGCCCCAGGCGGGACGAGCGGATCAAGAAGTTGCTGGAGCCACTCCCCCTCTGAAGTAGGAAGGAAATGCGGGAATTGATCTCTGTCCGGTCAGCATCTGTGGCCTCCACCTGACCCACAAAGGACCCTGCAAGTGGGGACAGACACTCAGTGGCCAATGGGCGCTGACTCCGGGACACTGCTGGTCTCATGAGCCTGGCCACGCAGCTTCTACCTGGAGAGTCTTCAAAGACTGAGAACTCATAGGACTGCTTAAGGAACACGGGTGCATTGTCGTTCACGTCCTGCAGGAGATAAGGTCCATGATTGTAGCTGCTCCAGGAAACAGGGTCCCCCACAGCAGGAACATGGACACCTGCCTGCCCACAGGCAGGAGGCAAACAACCCCTCTCCTGCCTCCCTGCATCAACTATTCCCTCTGCCCCCTCAGAGAGCCTGGGGACAAGGTGTCCCTGCCACGGACAGGGATCCCATGTCCCGTCCTTGCCCTTACATCCCAGTTCCAAGCACCCACCTGCCCCAGTGCATCCCCACTTGTGCCCAGGACTCACCCCCACAGTGATGGTGACATTCACCGAGGAGCTGAGCTGTGGCACGCCATGGTCATACACCTCCACCGTCACCACTATCTGCCCCTGCTCGTTGTCCAAGGCCTCGCGGTCCAGTGGCTCCTTGCTGTGCATCACACCCGTGGTTGGGTTGATGGTAAAGTTTTCGCTGAACGGTCCTGGCAAGATCCTGTAGCCCAACTTGCTGTTGAGGTTGCCAGGCTCATCGTTGTCGGTGGCCTGAAAAGGTCAGTGGTTGGAACAGGGCTATCCAGCACCTTGGGGACAGTCCCTCCTCCTCTCCAACAGCCTCCTGTTGTCCCCTCCACCTCCATCAGTGCATACCTGGATCTGTATTGTGACATTCTGCCCCTCTTCCACCGAGATGAAGTAGGAGCCAGTGATGATGGGTGCCATGTCGTTGTCGTCCAGCACGGTAATCTCCAGCACGGTGGTGCCCACCAGGTTGCCCCCATCCCTGGCCTGGAGGTTGGCGTAATAGACGGAGCGAGTCTCCCGGTCCAGCAAGCTCCCATTCAGCACCAGCACTGCCCCGGTCGTGGCATTCACCGTGAAGATTTTACGGCTAAGGCACACACAGAGCCGTCACTGGGGCTCAGGCCTGGACCCCCCTCGCCAGGACAATGCCCCCGTCATGGCTGGCTGTGCCCCTACATACATGCTCTCTGGGAGCAGCTCGTAAGTGATCTGTCCCAGGACACCGCTGTCTGGATCATAGGCCTAAAACAGAGAGAAGAAGCATTCGGTCAATCCACCTCAGCCCCCAGGGCAGTGATGAGTCTGGGACACTGGCAGTGAGCACCCCGAAAACGTGGCCCTGATGGGCACGGGGTCCTGCACCCCATGTGCCCACTGGCACTGTCTCCTTCCCGTGTGCACAGAGAGACCAGTGCCCCCAATGCCAGCTGCACCCACAGTGCCAGGTGTGCCCAGTGCCCTCCTTGAGGGACATGAGCTGTGCCTGCTCCCTGCCCAGCGCCTGACCGTGATGTTTGGGGCGATGACGGTGCCATCAGGGCTGTTCTCCATCACGCTCAGGTTGTAGATGCTCTGAGGGAACTCGGGGATGTGGTCATTGGCGTCAGTGAGGTCGATGGTTACAGTGGCCGTGGAGCAGCAGTCCATGGGGTTCCCTGTGTCATTAGCAACAATCTGCAGGATGGAGAAGGGACAGTGTCTCACATGCGTCCCGTCCCCAAACACGAGAAAGAGACCTGTCACACTCCAGCCCAGCTCCCCTGCACCAAACAAGCTGCCAGGGCAGAGCCATGTCCTGCTTTGGCTTTTGAGCTCTGCAGGAGAAGAGCTGTGTCACCCCTGTGCCCTGGCACACGCAGGGAACAGCGACTGTCCCCACGGCGAACCTGCACCACCATGACATGGCTGATCTCATAGTCCACAGCAGATGGGTCTTGCACCAGGAGCTGGACCTCCCCTGTGCCCTGGATCCTTGTGGGGGAGACAGCGAAGGCGCTGGCGTCTGGACCCTGCAGGTACAGCTCATAGCTGCTGTGGATGCCCTGCCAGGGAGAGACAAACAGGAGTGAGGGGGGCGGTGCAGCCAGGACAGGCACCTGCACCCCAGCCCGGTCCCCTGGACCCCAGCCCAGTCCCCTGGACAAGCTCACACCTTGTCTGGGTCGTGTGCGACGATATTGAGGTCGGACACGGGCAGTCTGGAGGAGGAGTGCTCTATGATGCTGCCCATAAAATTATTCTGGGGACTGGCAGAGAAGTCACAGTTGGGGAGGGAGCAGTGGTAGAACTGGGGCTTGTTGTCATTGACATCGGTCACTGTGACTGTCACCAGGGTGCTAGTCTGGGCCACTCTGCCATAGATGTCCAGGTTCTTCTCACGTGCCTGAGCAAAAAGAGACAGCAGGTTGGGGGGCCTCGAGGAGAGGACGAGGATGGGGTTTCCCTTGCTGCCTCCTACTCACTGTGACTTCCAGCAGCACCTCCTCGCTTGGCAGCTGCTCACGGTCCAGGTGCCCACTCACAGTGATGGTGCCCGTCTTAGCATCAATAGCAAAGGGGACACTGGCATCTAGGGCAAGGGGACAGCAGCAACCAGCTGCAGGCACTGGGAAATGCAGGTCTGGCCCTCTGTCCCGCTGGCAGCACCCAAGAGCCCAGAACCAGTCCCTGTTGCACCCCTTGCTGCCTGCCCACCTCACCCTGTCACTCTCCACCCCCTGCCCATCCCACCCTGCTCCTGCCCACCCCCCCCTGCCCTCTCACTCACTGGTAAAAAAAATCATTCACTCCGGTGTCTCTGTCCACGGCGGTGACAGTCAGCACAGTGGTGCCCTGTGGGGAAACAGCCATCATAGCAGACCCATGACACCTCCAGCCACCCCCGTGCCGCATGGCCTGGACATGCCAGGGTGTTAGAGCCCCCAGGGAGGGCCAGGGGCAGGTGGGCTCCTTACCAGGGCGCCGTTCTCAGGCACAGAGCCGGAGTAGG